GAAAATACATCAGTAGGATTAGTCTTTAGGGGTTACTTGATGTCAGAATATTTTCTTTTTTTTTTTTTTTTTACCCGAGTTGCTTTTTCGTCCGACTGCCATATTGGATTTAACGAAAATCTTCTTGCACTTGCAGTGGATGACCAGTAGTTGGCAGTGTATTGTATGATGTCGACTTTAGTGGTCTATGAGGATTTATAGCATAAAAATCCACAAAAATCACAAGAAAAAGGCTTTTAGGCAGCTGCCGACTGCAGTCACCACTATGCATGAAAGTAATTAACGTGTTTGCTTCAGATGTTTAACCTCATTATTGTTCCTTTTCTAGCAGACAAACTGCTTGCTTTTACAAGTGTCAGTCATTTAAACAACTGAACAGTGTAAAATATGCTTTGATGAAAATAATTGCTAGCATATATCACACAGAATGAAGCAAATGCTTTACTCAGAGTTTTTACTGGCACCTGATGAGCGACTTTTCTGTTTGCTCCCTCAGGCGTGGAAGCGATCGTGGCTTGCTGCCTGCAGCAGGATCAGCCGTGTCTCATGCACTGTCGCATGCATGCAGGCATGCTGGCGGTGTGGCTGCGCTCTCCAGTCCCCGACCTGCCGGACTGCCTCCTCTACTGCTGTCAGAGAGCTCTGCAGGAGCTCTGAGGGCCTCGGCTGGCAGCACCGGAACCACTCAGAACCCCCAAGCACTGAACAAGGAGATCCACAGATCTGCAGGACACTCCGGCACCAGCTGCTGCTTTGATTTCATGTATTTACTGACCGTTGCTGTTTTATTTTAATTTGTTCACAAGTGATTTAAAATTATGGGAAGTCATGGCAGGTAATAAGCTCAGGGCCTCAGGGTGTTTTAAATGACACTATTGTCATAAAACTATTGTAGTATTGTGATAACTGTTTCAGTAAATCTGCAAAACTATTAACTAAATGTATTAGTAATAAGCAAAAAAAAAGAAAAAGAAAACCCAAGCTTTTAAAATTAGCTTCATTTTCGTGTCTAAAATAGTCCTGACAGTAAAAATCTCCATAAAGGCTGAGCAATAAGTGTAGTTTATTTTTTAGATAAACTACAGAGAAGCATGAAGATTTTTGAAGAAACTCACATTATAATGCACATAAGTTGGAGTGCTTAGAGCTTCATTTCAGCTTATTTGCTAATTTTGTGAGACTTCATTAATGTTTGACCCATAACTGCTCCAGTTTTGTCTTCTAAATCTATATCATTAGAGCATTCGCATATGCTGCAACCCTAGCATTACGTTTTTCAGGATTATGTAAAAGGGAAAAAAATAACCCAGGAAAGCAGAAATCTAAAGGGATTTTTGAAATTATTATGTCTAAAAACAAATTTTAAACTCTCGTCATGAAAATAAAGTTATTTTCTCATCAAGTCAATCTGAGATTGATCAAAGTGAAAACCAGGGTTTTATTTATCTAAGTTAAAGTTTACATTAGTGTCAGTCATTTCTTTTGGAAAACAGCAGAGCTCTCACTCCCATGTCACATTTCTCTCTATAAAATTATCATTGCCTTCCATGTAAGATTATCATCTATGCACTCATTGACTTCTGTTAACTTAAGTCTTTCACTACTATATTTTCAGTATTAAAAACATATTTATTTGATTTGTTTGCTTGATACTAACTTCACAGGAGCTCTGTGCTGTTGGACCGCTCTGTGAGGGTTTGCTGGTGGAGTTTGATCTATTTTTCATGTCTTATGCTGATTTAAAAGGTTTGGACAATGTTTGTACATCCACAACCTTACGCCTTATGTTCAAATGCCAAGATGGCATGTTTAATTTGTGCCTGTGGTACAGAGAAGAGTCCTCGTTCCTCAGAGTGCCTGTCACTACATTCTGGGACTACATGAATAAATGCAACACTTGTAAACAGGTTGGATTTTGTTGGTTTTATTTAAGGGACACTATATGCAAAGTAAATACAAATGGTTTCTCATGCAATGCTTTCCAAAACGATTGATAGTTTAACTTTTACAAGCACAAATTCTGTCATTTATTAACACTGTATATGGGACAGAGCAACACATTGCAGTGTGGGGTCAAAAAATAGTTTTTAATTATTTTGAAGTTTTGAGAGGAAAACATAAAGCAACAACTCCAGTCTCTAGCTGTGTGAAGCTGCAAAAATGATCTAGAGCTGTAATTTAACCTGCATTTTCTGGTTAAGTCATATTTTTATTTGCAAAACTTTTGAAAACCATTTTTCAAAAGCTAAGTGTAACTAAAAATCCTCTGATTTCACATTTTTATCCCCTTTTCTGAAAGTTTAAAATATTTTTTAATGTGAGTTAGTACTAACTCACAGGAGTGAAGTTAGTGAAGTTAGTACTAAACTTAACAAATTTGGATGAGGCTCATCCAAATTCACCTTAAAATCATGATTTAAAACACACTATTTATTATTAACCTCCAAGTTAACTAAAGATAAAAGTACATCACAACATAAAACATAAATTTACATCTAATGAAACGTTGCTTTTCAGGTTGAGAACTTTCTGAAACATGGTGGGGAAAAAACCTTTACGACTTGCTGAACCATGATTTCTAATACCTACTAAGCAAAATCATACGGAGAATATCCAGTCATCAGTTTGTGAACTGAAGCTCTTGCATACCGCATTCATACCTCTTAATTGGACAAGCAGATTTTTGAAAGTTTGTTGAGTGGACTAGTCATTCTTTTTAACCTTCAACATCCTGTTATTGCTAAAAAAAAAAAAAAAAAAGTCTTAACTTGGCTCAGATAAAAGTTCTGCAATGAAACTTGTCCACTTGGACTCGCGATTCTTTTCTGGTTTTATCTAAACTTGGATATTACTTGGTGGATATTACTTTTTCACAAGTGGGTCTCTTCATAAAATCAGTATTAAAAATTGCTTTTGGATTTACTCAGGTTGTCTTTGTTTGATAATACCTTTTGTTAGTTGGATGATATGACAAAAGGCAACAAGAGAAGACATCTGTAAGGGGGTAAATGTATCTTCTACCTTCTTTGAACTTGTTGCACTAATACATTAGTCGTGTATTGTTATCTGAAAGGGGAGAACCTCCTCATTATTCAGAGCTGGTGGTGCTTTGGTTCTGACTGCGGGGGATGAAGCGCATGCTCAGACTGTGCTCGTCCTCCACAGGCTGCTGTGACAGGTTGTTGGTCTGCCTGATGCTGCTCACAGTGCAGCCTTTGCGTGGACACACTGTGTAACGGGAGAGGAGGGTGACCAAGATGGCCTTCATCATCACCATGGCGATGTGTTTGCCGACGCAGGAGCGAGGCCCGCAGCCAAAGGGCTGGAAGAAGCGGCTGGGCACCTGCCAGGCGGAGGAAGTAAAGGATCAACTGGTGTTTGTTTCACTCTGCAGTCACATATGGTTTACACTCACCGGGTTGTCAAAGTTGGTCAGGCTGAACTCTCTGGGTTTGGGGAAGAACTCAGTCTTGTGCATGAGTCCGATGTTCAGGATAATGTTGGTTCCTTTCCTGATCTTGGTACCTTCGATGTCATCGTCCTCCAGAGCTTTCCGCATAGTAAAGTCGACCACAGGGTGAAACCTCATGGATTCATTAATAAACTTCTCCATCACTTTCAGTCTTTCATAATCGACGTTTTCCGTAGCCGTTTCATCTGTAAATGAAAGACCACCTTTTCACATTTCCAAAGCTATACATTTCAATGCTGGGACTTGATGTGACAGACCAACATAAAGCAATGCATAATTAAGGACTGGATATGTGCATGGTTTTATTTATTTATTAATTTCTAGATTTATTTTTTAAACTGTAGTGTATATTTGCATGAAACAGACCTTTTATATTTCTTCATCAACATTTCATTGCAGTTCTGGTTGCATGTTTACAGTTATAGTCTTACTATATCCCAACTCTACTTTATACTCCTCTAAATATTTATTATTGACATGCCAGTTTTATTCATTGTTCTTCGTGAGGTTGTTTGTTCACAGATAGTCTCTAACAAATCTTAAAGGCCTTCTCTGAACAGCCGGATTAAATCAAATTTACTCAGATAGAGGCGTCACTATTTTTAATCAGGCGACCTGTGAGGGCACACGGTAGTACTGGAGGAATAATGCTGCGTTCCAGTTGTACTCAGTTATGGGAAATTCCAACTTCATAGTCAGAAAAATCAACTGGAAAAACCCCCGAAGACGGATTTCCCACTGGGAAACTGGGAGCAACACCGACTACCCCTATTTACTACTGTTATTAAGGCGGACTTTGCGTTTCAATATGGCCGCCCCTCGCATTAACTAAGATATGATGGAAACATGTTTATTTTACAGGATGATACACATGTGAAAGTGCGTCTAAAATCAATGTAACGCCTCCTACTGTAAACTAAAAAAATTACAAGTAGTGTTTGCTTATGGAAAGTAAAGCTTAAAATTATGTTTATAAGAGCTAATGCAAACGACATTTATGGGCGTCGCCATTTTGAAATTCCGACTGCGCCATTACCTCGGGTCTGACGTGAAACTGTGCTCCGAATTCCCACTTCCCAGGTAACTTGTATAATAAATATTAAACAAAGCATACATACAGATTTAAAGCTGACTTTTATTTCTCATTTTGCAGTTATGGACTATTTTGTGCCTAAAACTCAGTGAAACACTGAGGTTTGTTGTAATGCGACAATGCTAACTGCTTGTGTAGCAGTTAGCATTGCATTAAGTGTGACCCAGAGAGGATTTTCTCTCACCCAAAACGGTGCTCATCTCCTCCACAAGCTGCAGCTCCACCGTCGGGTTTTGTTTCAGCAGCATCAGCATGAAGAAGAGGCTGATGGAGAGTGTGTCAGGAGCTGCGATCACCATCTCCAACACACACTGCCTGACGTTTTCAGCAGAGAGCTCCCCGTGGTTCTGCTGTGACAGACAGTAATCTAACTACAGTTCAGAGTTACCTCCATCATGTGGACAGCAGGAGAAACCGACCTGTGCAAAGATGAGCTGTGTAGCAAAGTCAAGGTCGTCATCCAGCTTCTCCGTTTCATGAATGATTTGTCTTTTGATTTCGAGCAGACTCTCCATCGCATCCTGCAACTCTTGGCTGTTAGTGGTGCAAAATGGAAAGTTGATGAAATCTCAAATGAAATGCGACATTAGAGTCATGATTTAAGGCTCTTACGCTGCTTTTTTATGCTTGTCGTAAAGCCATCCGATCTTGAAAAAGATGTCAGGCTGGATTAGAACCGTTTGCCAGGTTTCAAAGTAGTTATGGATTTTCATAAGCAGCTCCTTCTCTAAGAAAAAAAAAAAAAAAGAATTGCACGTTTTCAGCCAAGACGTTTGGAAGATGCAAAGTTTGGATACAGCAACTGACCATTGAGAGGAACCCTGAGGAACAATTTATTGGAGATGTCCACTACGATGGCTCTCAGGAGATTGAGGGCGTCCACATGTCCAGAGGGGTCGGTCATGTCCTGGAGGTGGTCCAGGTGTTTGGCTGTGGAGCTCACACAGATTCCCACGGTCCGCTGAAGGCTGGGGCCTGACAGAGCTGCGACATCAACACAAAAATATGCAGTAACTCAGTGAAACAGCGGTTTAGTCGTAAAACATTTTACCGCCAAACTCTGAAATGTGCTTAATATCCTGAGGTTGTTACCTTTAGAGAAGTATGTCCTAGCTTGTTTCCAGAGTAGGGTATTGCTGTTGAAAATGATACCCCTCCCCTCCATCCCAATGCACTCAAGGCCTCTTTTGCTCCCAAATCTGGATGTGTAGAGAGGGCTCCTCAAAACATGGTACACTGCAGAGGACCTGCAGCAGAAACCAGCATATGTTATTATTTAATTTGTTTTTAAAGCTTTTTTTTTTTTTTAATGTATCTCCACATTTGCGACACATTGTTGCTACTTGATATGTGACAATTTACTCCAAAGTCAATCCACATTTGGAAAAGAATAACAGAAAGGTGCTCAGAACCTCAGCCTCAAAATCCAATATGGCTGCCTAGCATATAAATGCTAATAACAGTGAGGTAAAATAATTTAATTAAACTTCTGATCATTTGTTCTTATAAGTTTTGTTTTTTTTACATGCGTTGTCTTTTTAAAACTTGAAACTTTGCATAGGTTGGTGCAATGTTTAAATGCACAAAATACAGAGAAGTAAATTAGCTAGCAAATTACACAGATTTTTGAACCTTAGACTTAAATTTAATCAAAATTCAGATAGTTTGATGTTTTGTGATCAAATTAGCTGGCTATAGTTTGTAATTTATTGCAAAAACTTTGTGCAATTCACTGACAGCAGGACTTTTTTTTCCCTCACATTGTGATCTTCCTCACTGTGTTAAGTTAAATGACTGTGGTGCTACTTATTGGTAAAAATATATTCGTTGATGTGGAAAGGTTTTTTTTTTCCAATTAATATTCACCCGAATAATTTTTCTTCAGTACAAAATCATGCTGCTGCATGAAAAAAATATGAATAAATTTGAACTTATCTTCATCTGCTGTGTGAATATCTCTTGTTTTTCATGCTTACCTGCTGAAAATGATGGTTTCCTCCCCATTGATCCAGACCCGGACGGCGCTGCCGTATTTGTTGTTGTAGTAGTTGCAGGCTGTTCCAATCCCGGTCCAAATGAATCTGCCGTAGGACAGGATCGGACCAAGTCCTGCACAGAAACGGGGACCTAAAGCAGAGAGAAGCTGCAAGTCAGTCTGCAGCAGATCTTAGTTCACGTTTCTCTACTGTGGCTGGTTTTCAGAAATCACTTTCTCTTCCTAATTTTTTAAACAAATTTACAAATGTTATTTTCTTGCAAAGAAAAACAAATGCAGTTTTCCCTTTCTAATTTTGAGATTTATTTGTGGTCACAATTATTCTTATGATGATTTATTCATCAATTTATAACACTAGTTTTGCAGAATGAGACCATTCTTTTTCTGAATTACTCAGACTGTACCTTGTATGTGTGAACTCTGTGTTTGGCTCCAGGTGGTGATGAGCAGAACCAGCAGCAGCAGCAGCAGCAGAAGAAGAACAACAACGGGGGTTACTCCACACAGACTGTGAACGTCCATCGTAGTGAGGATCTCTGGCAACATTGTCTCCTCTATTCGTCCAAAGCGGTTGTGTAAAGTGAAGAAGGTTCGCTGTCGTCTGATGGTTAGAAAGAGTTTAAGCCTCCTTAAACCAGCATATAAACCAGCCCTCCTCTTCCTCTCTTTTAATCCTTCTGTCCTTCAGTGTTGGGAGGTAACAAAACACACTGACACTGAACTTCATACAGTAGATCTCGGAGGTGTACACACCCCTGGCAAATTGCCTCCTTTTTTTGTGGCGTAGTAAGTAAGATCAATAAATCATGTAAAACTGCTTCCATATAAAATGTGGCATGCATTCTGTGCAATTCAATGGGAAGATAAATTTGTTTGAATGAACAAAACCAGTGCAGCAACCTGGTTGCATAAGCGTTCAGTGTCGAGGGTTTGTAAGGATTTTCTCACTTTGCCATGCAGATGTTGCTCAAAACTACCGGATTTGGAACAAACTTCTTGTCCACAGCCATTTCCAGGTGACCCCACAGATTTATTTTTCATCTCAGGTTTAGAAAATCCTGGGTGGGACTAAGTTTTCACTCAGGAAGTCACTCTTTTCCTGTTTTTAATGTAAACTTAGATTCACTGAGACGCTGAAAACATAAGTCGGTGTGCTAAACACCAGATTTTGAAGCAGAACTGAGTCGCATTCAAAGGTTCATCCACCTGCATGCAGCTTGACAAAAACCCCAGTTCTAAGAAGAGGTAAACCCAGAGCACAATGCTGCCACCACCATGTTTCAGGCTTTGGGTTTGTTTTGGTGATGTGAAACTTGTTGCTGTAAAAGTTGAGTTTCGGTTCTATCAGACCATAATATAATTTACACACTCAGAGTTTTATTAGATTTTTCACCAGGTCTGGAGCTAATGTTTAAAAACTTTATATTTATCCAACCAAAGTAGACCCATCACAGGTGTGGATGGCAGATTTCATATCTTACGTCTTTGTTTGCATTTGTTTTATGTTTAGTGTTCTCCATTAAACCCAACCTTTACATATCATTCTGCTTTTTTCAACCAATTATTAGATAGTCTATGCTGTTTAATTTACACAGTGACACAGATAATTAATAATGAATCTTTTTTTTTTTTTTTACATAAATTGAGTAGTGTTGGTCAGTTCACATACACAATTCAACAAATTTTATTTTGTAAAATGTTAAGGCATTAATTTGCTAAAAAAAATGTTGTAAGCACTTTCTTGTGGTATGAAAGTTGAGATGCAGATATTATGTCTAATTGCATCTGAGAGGAAACTACTTGATCATGCAAAGATTTTGAAAAAGAAAATTTTCAAAAAGCATTAAGTTTTTCATGCTCTTTGAAAGCATCAAAAAGTTTAACAAAACTTAAAAAAAGTTTGTTTTTGCAAGGATTTTCTAATTGTCATGTTACACACACAATAACATATTTGCAGATACCCAGATAATGCCATTATTTGATTATCTGAATAAATTGCTTTGTGTAAAACAGTTTCTAAAACTAGTTTCCAATCAAACAAATTAGAAAATGGTGAAATAAAACAAGCAACAATAGAACAGAACACGGTAAAGTGCGTTAAATTAAGAAATGCTACTAACCTCCTCTCCTGAGAAGTGGAAGTGGAATTTGAGGAGCTGCAGAACCCCCACCGCTGGTTTTAAAGGTGGTCTACATTCCTCCACCAAATAAATCACAGTGAATCGAGTGTTTATAAATCCTTGGTAGAGCCTTCACTCCACTGGTTGCTTGGAAACTTTACCACTTTTGGGTTACAAGGACTGTTACATGGCAGTGAACTGCCAGCTGGGTCAGACAGTGCATGTATGTCTAAAGCATCAATTAGCTAGTAAAAGAACAGAGAGCAGTTTTTTCATTATTGTTGAGGTGAATACAAAAGGATCGACTCTTTTATTTTTTTTTTTTTGTGGAGCATTGTGTGATGTGTGTGGTGTTTTTACCTCCCGCTTTTTGTGCAGAAAAACCCACAGAGTCCAATTCATTAACCGAGGAGGCTTTTCAAGGGGAAATGAATTAGCTGGGTCAGGCTGACCCGTGTCAAAGGAAGCTGGGACTTGCTCAGAAATTCAAGGAGGGAAGTAGACAAATGAAAATATATGTACGCTTAGAAAGTATATCGACTCATCTTTATTGAGCTTCACTTTGAACTTTATTTTCTGCAGCAAACTTTAAAAGGAATAGAGAATTTATAAAAAGCTTGAGTTCAGAAAAGGTTGTCCTTCGGCTTTTCTACATCACAAATGCTCCTAATTTGTCTCTTGCTGTTCAGCTCTGCAGTTCCCTAATAAACCTGGTTTACTCTTTGCAGCTGAAACTATTTAATATCTGGAATTCGAGAGCTGTACTGCTGTGAAAAAGTTTTCCCCCATAAACTTTTCTTTTTTCTTTTTGTCACACCTAAGCATTTCAGATCATTAATCAAACTTTATTACCACACAAAGAGTAAATAGCCATTTTCAAATGCATTAAAGAAAACAAACCATCCAAATCAGCCTGACCCTGTTTGGAAAAGTAATTGCATTCCCAGCAACAACTCTCATCAAGGCTTTGAAACATCTGGCAATTGTTTAAATTCAGCCACATTCATGCATGAACAGCCTGTTTAAGGCAATGCAGCAGCATTTTAGTTGGGCTAAAGCCAATCATTGGAGCAGGCCTCTCCAGAACCTTTTTGTTTTTTAATCTCAGCCATTTGGAGGTGAGCTGGTGTGGTCGTAGTCCTGCTACCCGTCTCAGGTTATAAACCGACGGCCAAACTTTCTCCTTCTAGATTTATAGAGGCACGTATTTATGGTTCCATAATTTTGCAGCAAGTCGTCCAAATGCTGCAACAGCAAATCACTTTGTGAGTATCACACTACCATTTCTATAATGATGTTCTGTTTCTGAAATGCTGTGTTGGTTTGGAGCCAGACGACACACCTTTCAAAAAGTTCATACAATGTTTTCCCAAAAATACTTTTTGTTACTGCTTAACTAGGAACGCCGGCCTTAACCGAGGCAATGAAGTTTTTCGATGCTTTCCACGTTGAGTTTTTCACCTCCTGGATGAGTTGCTGATGCTCTCATGGAGCAATTTATTACACTGCAACAACACAGTTTGTTGAACTAGTTTCTTGTGCAAATATCTTAGCACACTTGAAATAAGACAAAAATAACTTAAAAGTAATTTTTCACCAAGATATAGAGGCTTATTTCAAGTAAATAATTCCTTAAGATTGATGAAGAAGTACTAGTTCCATTGGCAGATTATCATTCACAAGACATTTTTCCTATGTTATAGGTTAATTTATCTGCCAAGTACTTCTTAATCAATATTAAGAAATTATTTACTTCAAACAAGCGGCTAAATCTTGCTGACAAGTTACTTTTCAGCTTGTTTTATTTCAAGTTTGCTAAGACATTTGCACCAAAAACTAAACCTAAACCTACTTGGTGAGGTTTTGTGTAATTGACAACTTCCTGGAAGATTTGTTGCATTTCAATGTGTTCTCCATTTTTGGAGTCCTGCAGCTATAGAAATGCCATTCTAATCTTTTTTTCTTTAACTCGGGGAACAATGTGTTGCTTTTTAAACCATTCAGTCTACTTTGTGTCATCAGACGGGCTTCATTTAGGGTTTTCAGCAACTAACCAAATCTGGATTTGACCTCTGAAATTAAACTCCAAGAAATGTGAATTCTCATCCGTCATAGTTAATTTTATCCTGTACCAGTTTTGTTTGGGTCGATACTTTCTCCTTAGTATGTTAAATATTTTGAAAACTACGCTCTCATTTTGGATTTTCTCTAGATATCTTTGTCTCTTTGATGTAAAAATTTGTTTGATAACCTGAAGTAAAAATAAATCTTTTCTTTTTCCCGCATTTTGTAACGTTTGGAAATATGGGAAAGAAAAGGGATGTTTTGACACCCACACGTCCTTCCAAACAGCCCGCCATTCACAAAGCCCTAACAGTGTTCCCCTTGTTTCAAACCTATTCATTCCACTATTAAAGCATTTTCAGTGGGTTGAGCTGGTGATAATATTGAAAGGAAAAGCACTAGAATGATGAGCCGTGCTGGCCTGTCAGTGGGATGTCATTCTTGAAATATGCCCATTATAGCTGCTTCTAAATCAGTCAATGTTTCCCAGATGCTTGTTGCGCAATGTACTCGCGCTGCAGTCGCACGGACACATTTTGACATGTTTATTTCTCTCCAGTAGCTCGAGTGTGACGTCTCATCTGTTGGCCGCCTCTCAGATATGTGCTGTGTGTGCTGGTGAGGTGCAGAGATCAGATATCCGTGCAGCTGAGGAGCGGGGAACGGCGCGCCGAAAACATGAAAGACGGGAGAGCAAGTTTTCCCGTGTGGAAAACGTTGCTGGTGGGGATGTGCGTGCTGCTGCTTCTGGGCTGCGCGGGTTTGGTTCTGCTGTGGGTTCAGCACAAGGAGCTGGCAGAGGAGCTGGTCAGGCTGGAGTCCCAGATGCAGGAGTTGGCACGGTGCTGCAGGCGGCAAGCAGGACCGCTGCCAGATGAACTCGGAGAGACTGGAGAGTTGAGGAAACTCCGGCGCAGCAGACGGAACCAGCAGGGAGAGCAGGACAAGATGATGCTGGTCACATACTCTGTGGTTCCTGTAAGATAAACTCACTGCTTGCACATTGAGCCTTGTTTACTTACTGCTTAATGTTGATCTATTTTACACACAGATGACATTTTATTAACATTTTAAAAGGAGAAACGCGTGGAACAGGTTGTAATAAAACAAAATTCTAATGTGGGCATTTATCGTATCGTTTATCACTTAAGGGATGAGAGTTCTGATTTATTGTTTTCACAATAGATTCCTTTTAATGATATATTGTTGAGACTGTTATCGTTTGCTATTTTTATTCACTGATTGCTCAATGAGAGTATCAAAAAATATACAGAAATTTGAAAAAAAAGATTAATTGCAGTTATTGCAGGTGGTTTAGTTATAAATATCACTACTGATGTCCTAAAGAAGTGCATTACAAATGGCAGTTTGTATGTTTTATGGACAAGTTGTTGGTAATTAAGTAAGATTTAACAGATTATTACAGATTAAATGGTAAGAAGGTAGTATAATCATTAATTACATACATGTTCAGTAATTTATTGGTCATGTCTCACTAAAACCAGGCAAATCAATCAAACAGTTCATAAAACCATGTCTGACATTTGTGCAAACATTTTATAACTAGTATTTGTCATAATCTCATCTGGAATGTGATCAAAAAATGTTTCTGCAATTCTGAACGGGACAGCTTTCCAGAAGCTTCAGCAGTTATTTCTAAGTAGAAAAGAAAAAATTATCTGATTTATCCATTTGGCAGAAGACAGCTTAAAGAATGTTGCTTAAAGAATGCACGAGTCCATTACAGAGATTTGGAGGGGTGTGTGTTTTACTGCTTCCCTGGATAAAACACGGAGTGGCGGAGCATGGCTGCTGCTTTCTCAGCTCATACCCTGAAACACCTGGCACCTCCTCAAAGAAAAAAATATACGACTTTAAAGCTGCTTTGACATGATCAATGGTTCGGTTCTTGTTTTACTGAAGTTGATTTTATCTACTTGAGTGGAAAATGCTTGCAGATATAAAAGCAGTGAAAAGATAAAAAGCTACATTTCATCAGCTTTTATTGAACACGTAAAGTGGGCCAGGTTGTATTAGGAACATTATGCTTGGAAATGTTTAGTGTTAAGATTCTGATTACCTGGATAGCAGATTAATCACAGTAGATGCTATGGTGCTTTTTTTCTTTTTTTTTCAGATCAAAGCCTACGTAGATCTGTGCAACAGCTCAAGAGGATTTTGTTTAATAGGTGGGAATATTTCACTCATTTCTTTGTGGTTCCGTTACTTTTTTAAAGCTCAACTGTAATTTTATTTCTCCTTTTTTTCCCAGGTCCACCTGGACCCCCAGGTAACAACCTCACGCTTCAGTTTTCTGTGTAACAACTTCCGCTACTTGTTGCTGTTGCTGAAATAAGTATTTCTGCGTATCAGGTGTGCCTGGCCCACCAGGACCGACGGGTGCGCCGGGCCCACACGGCAGACGAGGACGGCCAGGTCAGACACTAATCAGATCATCCAGAGAAAGCCCTTGTGTTTCACAGTAGCCCAAACAGATGAAGAAACCCAGACACCAAAGTTGTTTCCATGTTTCAAACAGTCTGTCATTGTTCGGCTGCGGTTGCATAATGTGGGCTTCCCACTCGCAGTCTGCTGGAGACTTTGTCTGCAGCTGCTGCATGCATGTTTACTACACTGCGGTGTTTGTTTGTTGCAGCTAAATAATGCGAATTATGGAACGTTTTTATTCAACGTAAACAAGAAAAGCAGCGTGTGAACCACTTATTTTCTACATCCAGCGTTAACTCCCTTTTAATTTGAATTTCTAAAGGAACTTGTCTTGTCCCGTCATGTCTTACAAGATTCAGAAAGAGTAGCAGTTAACTCAGGCTCATCCTGTTTTTGTGGTTTAGACTTTTGTTTCAGCAGTTTTAAATAATCACAATGTGTCAACGTATTTTAAACAGTTGGCATGTACCATGAGATGTAAATGAGTCTCTAAAAGTGAGCAACGGTTCAAAGAACATGGGTGCATTTTTTATTTTTTTGTCACTATTAGATGTTTCAGATCTTCAAGTCAGTTTCAAAATCAATAAAATATAACTTGATTCAACAAAAGAAACATTTCTGACCGTGTTTAAAAGTATACTGTTAAAAAAAAACCCATCTGTGATTTATAGTAAAATACAGGCAAAATTTTTACCATATAAATACAATTTTTCCCATATTTATAAATTTTTACAGTGTACTAGCTCCCTAAACCAAAGAACTGTTTGCACCATCTTTAGCAGCAACAACCAGCATTAGCAGTAACTGGCAATGAGTCATCTGCATTTCTGTAGGAGAATTTTGACCAAATGTGAACATGAACAGCCAGTTAAAGGTCACAAAACATCATATCAATAAGCTTTTAATCTGGACTTTAACCATTCAGATGTGGACTTGCTAGTAATCTAGTGCCTGACCCAAAAGTGTTTGAAGGGAACATATTGTACAAAATTTACATTTTCCATGTTTTTGTACTTCAGTTCCTGCTGCTTCTAAAAACAGACCAAGCCAGGTTTCGGCATCAAGTTAATGCTTTTTGGTATCTGGAAAATGAACAGTTTCAAAAACCTCCAACATGCTACATCACCAATCAGCTGGCACTACCTGTTACCTAGCAACCTCGCTAAAGCCTAGGCCGTCACCTAGCAACCCAAAAAGGTGCTCCAGCACCTTTGGTCAGCTGGTTTTACCGCTGCATCCGCTGTACAATGACTGCTGGAGAAGACAAATGTTTTGTTGTTGACTTACCATCCAGAAACCACTTGCCACATTCTTGTTGGTTGTGCAGGAGGCTCTACCTCTGCTTTTCAAAGTTTATGGTTGTATAATTGCGTATCTGTTTGCAGCCATTTTCACATGTGAGTGTAAATGTTGAGCTGGATGGATGGGCTTGTTCAAGCAGCAAAGCAACTACAGACAATCGCACCGCCATGTTTGATGTCAGTAGGATGTTCTTTTTACTCCAGACTGGATTCTCTTCTTTTGAAAAAGTCACAGTTTTGTCTGTTGAGTCCATATAATGTCCATACAATATTTTCCCAAAAATCTTGAAATTCATCTATTTATTTCCAGAAAGTCTCACATGGACATTTGTGTTGTCTTTGGTGAGCAGGGATTTTGCCTCAGAGCTCTTTTCTTATTGTTGACTCATAAACTCTGACCTTTACCGAGGCATAAATGTGATCTTGAAGTTATTTTGATTGGCCGATGATTCACCTCTGCTCCATGTGTTCCTTGTTCGTGGTCAATGACTCTTACTGTGATTTAATTATCTGAAACAAATATGCCTAGTCAAAGCAAAAAGTCTTGGACGAGTTAATCTTGCTGCCATTCACAGTGAGGAGAATGGTAAAGGGAGAACAGTATCAAATATTTCAGAGTGAGATTATGCAACTGCAGTAAAAGATAATGATTTATGCATTAATTTACTAAGCAGCCTATGTGTCCTAATACTGACTACTTGTTTTGATGAAGGTCCTCCTGGTCCTCCCTGTCCTGCTTGTTGTCCGACTGAAGCAACAAAGAAGAATCACAGAAATAAATCAAAGGGTAAGAGCAGCAGCGATTAAAGAAAACAAGGTGGTTCTTCTCCACAGGAGAAAAGAAACAGAGAAGAAACAAAACCAACAAACGATTCAAAATTGATGAAGCGACACCTGCTTGGAGAAGACCAGAAATGATTAATTTAAATTCATAAGGATAGTCAAATTTATGTTTTGTAGCCTGTCAGGCTATAAAACTAAACTTGGAGAAAGAAATTGGGTTTCTGGCTACATTCAAAAATAAAATTAAAGTTCTAAGCAGAGAATTAACAACAAATTGACATATAAAAATAACAGTATCACTTTATTTGAAGGGGTGTGCATAAGACTGACATGACACTGTCATAAACATGAGATAAAACCCGTCATGAACATAAAGAAGTCTTTATGACTGTTTATGACAGTTGTCATGAAGTGTCATTCGGTAAATAATGACACTTTTAATGCAAAGTTGTTCTAAAAGTTGCATTAAAAGTCCATTAAAAGTGCCAACTTTGCATGATTTTGTAAATTATGATAATTTAATGCAAAGTTGCCATTTTAATGGACTTTCAATGCAACTTTTAGAACAACTTTGCATTAAAAGTGTCGTTATTTACCGAATGACACTTCATGACAGCTGTCATAAACATTCATGAAGACTTCTTTATGTTCATGACAGACGTTATGTTTATGACGGTGTTATGTCAGTCTTATTCACACCCCTTCAAATAAAGTGTTACCAAAAAAACATATTAAAAATGTTCAAACTAATTGTAGATGATTCTCATTTTAGTTATCATTTAAATATTTGAAATCTTTTTGTTATAAATTTTAGCTAAATACAATATTTGACTATTTTTTTCTGCAAGTTAAATTTAGATGTATTTTATAGTAAACTATTTTTTCTAATTAGTTCATTTAAATGAATCATAAATTTCCTTTCCTGCACACCACCAACACATTCCTTCAGCACTAAACATTAGCCGCTTGCAGAGACAGTTTTGACTAAAAAGCTGTAATAAAGATGATTTAGATGCAAACTACTGTATGTTTAATTTATTTCTTTACCCTCAGATCGAGTTACATCACATTCAGGCAATGAAACCAGAGACGCTCTGAATGTTACTGGACCTGTGAAGCTTCAGGACACAAACCACGGTTTGTAGAAACTGGCAAAGGGGAAAAAGGCAGTTTGAGACATTAAGAATAAAACCTGATATTCTGTTTCTCTAGAATCTGTATCTTTTCCTCCAGAGGTTAATTTTTCACTGAACAATACCAGAACTGAAAATGTCACACAGATACCAATTACACCAGGTAAGAAATGTGTTGTTTTGAACTTTTAATCAAACAAATCCAGCGTTGGCCTTTTTATACAGTGTCTCTCAAACTCTACACACACCCGTTAAATTTCTGGTTTTTGTCAAACTGTGTATTTTTATTTAAAATGTTGCATTGAAATGCCTCCTAGTGCTTCTCTCTGTTGACTCCGGTGGAAACGCCGATCCTTCAGCTGGTGGCTCAGATGTCACTGATGGCACATCAGCAAATGGTAAGGAGGTCTGATGTTACACAAGTCTGCTTTTATTTCCTGCAAAGTCTGATTCATTCATGTTTGGAAGATTTATTACAGCCATTTTCATCTAACAGAAAATCTAACATGGGCTGGACCTTTATCATGTAGGCCAACAGTGAGAGTGTGCTGTGCCATCTCTGTTTGTTTTGCATTAAATCGTTCCAGTTGTGTTTTCTGCAGAGTTAGTTTCGCCTCGTCCAGACTATTCACCTGCACACTGGATGAACACCAGCTCAGAAATCAGAACAGAAACGTTAAAACATTTGACAACAGGTAAATTCTGGGACTTATTTATAACACATTTCATTCAGATTATATGGTATAAATCCAGCTATAAATCAAACAATTTAAATCTATACTGTATTTTTATAGTGTCACCAACACCGAATGTTATCTTCTCTTATCTTAATGTTACCGAATCATTAACTTCTCTTTATAGAAATACCGAAACCTCATCCAGCTGAAAATATCCTGAATGGCTCAGAGTTTAAGGAACATCTGGACACAAAACGTGAGCCTGGTGAGACACCGCCACTGAGATTTAACTAAAGGTAGAGCATAGGACAAAAAAATCCAACAGAAAATGTTTCTTTTCTTCAACAGAGTCAGAGCTGATTTATAAAAATGACTGGGACTCTAGAAATGCTACAGAGGGAGTTAAATTCATTAGCGGTAGGTTTGACATTTTCATTGACGTCATTTACTGGAACTGAAATACAATGTGTAACATTTATTTCTGCGCTAGATGAAGCTGGCGAAGAACAAAACAAGAACACCTTCAACGCCAGCAGGGTGCAAATGAGCTCTGAAAGCGGTACAGACGTGACACTGTGATTAAAAATGCCTGTTTTCTGTTCTGTTGTTAAAGTTTTGGTTCAAATAATAAGGCTTGTATTTTAACGCCCTATCAAAGATCCTAAACTACGAGAAAATAGGAGACAGTATCAGTAAAATCAATTAAAGAATTGTGAAATATTTGATGTATAAAGTTAATATTATGTACTATAAATGGTGTAAACTGCACAGACAGACTGTTTATATAAGTTTCAGACTTTAATGTGTCAATGCCACCATACTTGTGTTTTCTAAAGTGAATCTTGTATTTATTTTTACAGAACGACCAACACTACGCTCAGATAACATCACCAGAGAGACATTTAATGTTTCTGAACATAACAATCAACATAAAACAAGCACAGATCCTGGTAATGAAACAACTTTTTCCCCTCTGTTTGACTGAACTGTTGAGGGGAACCATGTTACATTTCTTTTTATTAAACTTTTCTCTACAACCAGAATTGTTCGATGATGGAGACCACACCAGGACTCTCAACGATACAGAGGGTAAAAACATTACAGATGGGTGGATCAAATTATTACGAGGCCAGTAACCTTCAAAACTAAACTTTTTGTGTTAAATTTAATATCTAATTGATCATTTTCTGCTACAGGAGCACTTGGTAAAATCCTAAACAGGGATGCTTTCAACGAAAGCAAGGTCAACACTGAAACAAGATTTAAAAGTGGTAAAATGTCTTCATTTATTTGATACAATGTACAGAATGCCATATATTTTCAATTTAATTGAATTTGATGCAAACACCAAATTCTAACTGGTGCACTGTAACTCCTGTGTTTAAAATTTTCATCTTAAAAAATTTAATTGCTTTTGCATGCTCACATCAGCTCACCTTTAAGAAGTTACACTCATGAAGAGTCATTGTGTGCAGCTTAAAAAAAACACAGAAACGTCAAACTGTTTCCTAAAGTCTGAGACCATAATTTCCAAAAGTTACATTTAGGTAACGGAAACTGTTAGCTAAATGTAAAAGACTGACCATTGAGCGACTCCACCGTTGCTTGTGCATGCTTTTCAGTCACACGTTTTCCTTCCACTCAACTTTCCATGAAAATGGTTAGATGGTGTGCTCTATGGATAGCCTTCTTTAGCCATTACTTTTTGTATTTTATCTACCTTCTGCAGGATATGATCCTATTAGCCATAGCATGCTAATAGCATAATATATCTACATTTGGAATGTTTTGGGTTTGTATAAGCTGTAATCCAGAATCATCAGATTAACTTAAAATATCTCACTCTGTGTGTAATGAATCCAGTTCGGCTTTGTTAGTTGAAATAAATTAATAAATATACTAGCTTTTCTCTAATGTGCTCATTTACTGAAACACACCTGAGATAACTGTTCTCTGAATTGGACCCTGTTTTTTTTTTATTGTTTTTGTTTACAGATCCACCAATGCGAGAAGCGGCTAATGTCACCAGAGACGCTAATGATGTTTCTGAATTTTACAACCAACTGAGTACGCAAGGTGACCCTGGTTAACCCAAAATGTTTTCTTCCTCATCTTAGTCAGAGTTTTTCTGTAGGAAATGTGTTAAACTTCTTTGATTGAAATTTTGTTCAGGACCAGAGCCGTTTCATGAAGGTGTTGGCAACGGGACTTTGAATGATTCAGAGGCAACAAACGCTACAGAAGGATGGGGCGACATGTTAAGTGGTGAGTGAGGTTTGTAAATAAAAAATAATAATGTCTACATTTGTGGATTGTATTCATATTAAAGTGGTTAAAGGATTAATGTTTACATATCATTTTCTGCCACAGATCCACTTGGTACAGACCAGAGCAAAGACACTCTGAGTGACAGAAGAGACACGAAAACCAGCATTAAAAGTAGTAAAATATCCTAATATATTAGAAATCAGTGCAGAATAACTGTCTAATTTACATTGAAAACAAATACATGTTTATGTAGAAATTTAGTTCCTGTTATTGCATTCATAGATGATAGAGTATTTGGTAACACTTTATTTGAAGGGGGGTGAATAAGACTGTCATGACACTGTCATAAACATGACATAACACCTGTCATGAACATGAATGAGCCTTCATGAATATTTGACTGTTGTCATAAAGCGTCATTCGGTAAATTATGACACTTTTAATACAAAGTTGACATTATTCAAAATGTCTTTGTTATGACAACTTGACATTAACTAAATAAATCATTACTGATATAAATTTGTTATAAAAGAATTACTGATTGCACTTTAAAAATGAGGTAACTTTATGTTATTAAAGGTAAAGTTTAAACAGTAATGGTTTCCTGGTTAATGTCAAGCTGTCATAACAAAGACATTTTGAATAATGTCAACTTTGTATTAAGTGTCGTAATTTACTGAATGACGGTTTATGACAACAGTCATAAATATTCATGAAGGCTTATTCATGTTCAAGACAGGTGTTATGTCATGTTTATGACAGTCTTATTCACCCCCCTTCAAATAAAGTGTTACAGAATATTCAAAAAACCATTTAAAACAATGGTAGCAGAGTGACTGAAGTTGCTCTTTGGTGTTTATCTTAGTATATAAAACATAGTTAAAGTGTTGGAGAAACTCCATGATTTATAACAGTTTATAACAGTTCACTGTTTCACTGCTGAGTTTATCAAATATGACAGTTTTCTAAAGAGCAACAAGTAAAATGTGAGTCAAATTACAGAAATATACAGGTGCATTTCAATATACAAAACATTTCAAATGTCAAATTATTTCAGTAAATCAATTTAATTGAACAAATTCAGTATTCAGTAATTAAATATAATTTGTATTCCAGTCCTCTAAAACCTGCTATTATCCCAATTGCTTGCCTACCGACCTCTACGTCACTTTTTTCTTCCACTTAACTTTCTATCAGCATGTTTGGATACAGTAATCAGTGAACAGCCAGATTCCTTAGCTTAAGTGATTCTCTAGGTTTCTGGATTAGAATCCCTTTTTATTGTCATTATCTTTAAATTTTCAGTCAAACATTTTTGTTTTCACTAGTTTTCAGATGTAATCATCAAAATGAACACCAATAAAAGTGTAAAATATCTTAAGACTTTCTGTAATGAGTTCAATTATGAAATAAAATAACTTTTCGGTGATGTTCTAATTTAGTAAGATGTTCCTGTAGATTTTTAAATGTTCTTTGATTAAACCTGATCTTTTTTTTTCTTTTTTCAGTACAACCAACACGAGACTCAGCTAATGTCACCACAGATGCTTTTATTGTTTCTGGCTCTTCTGAACATCAAGATGAAAAGATACAACCTGGTAAACCTTTAAGATTGATTTACATTTCTCTCTGCAGCTGAGTCAAGTTTTACAGGAAACATTTTGTTGAACTTCTTCCTGTTTAAAATGTCGTTAGATCCAAAGCCGACTGATGAAGGTGAAACGGTAGAGAATCCAGAGAGACCAATAAAATTATTACACGGTATTTAAACTTTAAAACCTCCCCTTCTTGCAACTTGCATGAATTTTAAGATTAAATGTGTAAAACGTGATTTTCCACATACTGTAGGTCCAGTTGACGCCTTCAATGACAGCAGAGGACGGGTCGTCACAGAAACAAGCTTTGAAAGTGGTAAAAACTTCTTATAACAGTCAACATCTGTGCTGATACTTTAAAAACATAAGATGTCATATTTGTGGATGATATCAGAGTTGATCCAAATGTTTTTATCCCTGTTAATGTTTTAGAAATCATGAGAACTCAGTAGATAATGTTGTATTTCACAATCATTTTTTTCTAAATAATTCAGTTTCTATTCTTCTAGTGAAAGAAATTCATGTTTTCAGTTTTTTTTAAATCTTTTTTTTAGCATTTCAAGTTTACTGTGAATCTACTAGGGTTAAACTTTTCTTTCACAGAAACATCAACAGGACATTCAGCTAACAACAACGGAGGCACCTTAGATATTTCTGAGTTTTACAATCCTCCAAATAAAAAACTGGAATCGGGTAAAAACCCAAAATAAATAAAAAACACTAATAAATAGTTTTGCTTTATACACATCTATTTAAAATGTTAAATTTTCATATTTCACTATTTCTAGATCAAGTTTCATTTCAAGATGACAACAATGGGACTCTGAATGATTTGGATGGTGGAAATGCAACATATGTGCCATTAAAACTATTTCCAGGTAAAATGATTACATTATTAAAAATAAAAAATGTGCCAGTTATTTTGTTAACATTACTCTAATAAAAGGCAATTTTAATATTTTGCATTTATTTTTACTGCACAGGATCGAGTGAAACCAAACGAAGCAGCAAAACTTTCACTTCCGACACAGTCACGAATGAAACTACAGTAAAAAATGGTAAAAAAAACAAAACAAAAAAAAAAAAAACAGTATACCAAGCTTAAGATTCAGTGTTTACTCCTATCTATATTCCAATATCTTGAGTGCAATCTTTGATTTCTTTAGAATCAACAACTCCTGATGCTAAGAAAAAGAAATGTTTATCTACATGTTAACCATACTGAGACTGAACTACTGATTATCTTAATGTTTTTAATCCATCTGTACCACAAGTGCCAGTAAATGTGCAGGTTGATGTGCATAAATGTAAAACTCTTATTTGTTTTCTGGCTGTAGTAGTAATCTCTCAGGCATAAAATCTTCATTCTATTCAGCAAAGAGAAAAGCATTTACTTTATTTCTTTTTCACACAGTTTCACCTTCTGCTGATGAAAGTCAGAGAAGAAACTCTTCGAACGGCAGCAGAAACATTGTAGACAAACCGATGAAAAGTGGTGAGAATCTGTCCTCTGCTGGCGTTAAGATTTATTAATGAGGGTTTTATTCTATTTTTTTGCTCAAATTGTTTGTAAGATACTTTTTTATTCTTTAAAGAGGGTATTCGCTCCTTTCTCGAGCTCTTGATCACATTGTATGTTAAATCTAAAACAGCTAAAGCATAACCTTACATTATTTTAAGAATGTGGATTCACATCTGTTCCCCTTCTCAGAGTCTTCCCAACGTGTCCCAACCGACAAGAAGAGCAAAGGAGCTGACCATGAAAAAATGACAAAAACGGGTAAAAACAATTTGTTGAAATAATATTAAGGGGATCAAGGTCCTTTGCATATGCATTGTGCAAGGAATATAATGGAAAGTGATTAAGTTTTTGCCTTATTTTATGTAGGTTGCAACATTAAAGCCATCAGATGTTCAGATAAGTCTATTGACATGCACTCCACATTCGGAGCCTGGATGTCGGATGCATCCCGGCCTGATGATCGGATCTGGGTGGCAGAGCATTTTTCAGGTCATACATTCAGAGTTTGTTATTTCCTTATAGTGAAGTGTGGTTCCCTGAATTAACAGGAACTTTTACTCCACCAGGTCGTGAACTGAAGCAGTTCAAGAACATTTCAATGCTTTCGGACACCAAACACCAACGTCTAGATATTAATAAGTTCTACCAAGGCTGCGGTCATGTTGTTTATAAGGAATCATTTTACTTTCACAATGGAGGAACATATAATCTTTGGAAGTAAGTGTTTTAATTTTAAACGTGTTTCTCTTTCCTGACTTGAACATCTTAGATTTAACGTGCTTTGCGAAAGTCGTCATTCATCTTGAACTCTCCTGCAACTTGTCTGTTTCAACACACATTTAGATGTTGCAAGACACCAGCCCTCAAAGCATAATCATGAGTTAAAGTAGCCTAGTCAAAGTCTGACTCTAAATTCAACAAAAGAAATCTGAAATTCTCCATCCAGTCTGAGTCAGCTGTAGGTATTTTCCAAAGAATAATTGTCTTAGACATAAACCCCAAAAGACCTGCAGTTAAGTGGAGAAAAATTTGGTTGTTATATGGAGAATATGAGAAAATATATATGCATGCCACACTTTTAAAACATTCAATTTCACTGTTATGTGCTATTTTGTATTGGTTTACCAAATAAAATACATTGAAATGTATGGTTGAAACTTGAGAAAACGTGAAAAGGTCCAAGTAGTATGAATATTTTTTTGGAAGGCACTGTTATCTCTTTAGGCTTTCTATAATAATGTAACCATTATCAAATGTTTTTGTTTGACAGGTTTGCCTTGAAAACAAAGAATACAAGCTCCCTGCGAATGCCGAACAGCAGATATAAAGGCCTGACATATCTTTTCCACAACTCAAAGACTTATTTCAAGTTTGCTGTGGATGAAAATGGACTGTGGGTCATCTTTGCCTCTTCCATAGACAACAACACGGTGGTGGCTAAACTCGACCCAGATGCTTTCTCTGTGCTGTCCTTAATCAACACTGGCTATCCTTCAGCTAAAGCAGGAAATGCCTTCATTTTGTGCGGGGTGGTGTATTTTACCGATAACAGCGACAAGCGTGTGACATATGCCTTTGATTTGATGACACAGAGACATCTGGATGCAAGTTTTGATTTAAGGGCAGGAGACGGTACCTTAGCTATGCTGTCCTATTATCCCAGCAAAAGACTGTTGTACATGTGGGACAACAAAACTGCGAGAACGTGTAGGATTAAATTCAAGAACACCTAAAAAAGTCTTACAAGTAACCCTGTTTTGGAAAAAGTGCTTTAAAAACAAAATCTATAATTTTTTTCTGTCTTGCAATAAATATGACTGTTGACATATTGAGCTTTTTGCTGACGTCGACTCACTGATAGCGACATCTCATTCTCCTTTGATTTACAAAGAACGACCAGATACTCACAGAAATGTCACAACAAGGTTTGTTGAAACTGAAAGAGTCCTTAAGCGTAAACAAGACCAAATTAAAATTTGAGAAGTATTCAAAACAACAATATAATAAAATCACAAATGAATCAGAACAAAAAAGGAGATAGACTTATGGGATAATTTGTAGAGAATAGATACATGTTTGTTATCATCATGTTTCTTCACTAAAAATGTTACTCAAGAAAATGTAGCCAAGTAAATGCAATTTACTGTTTTTCTCTGTATGCAGACCAAAATGTTTAAACTTAAGTTTTCAGTAGTGAGATTCTTTTTGTGCCACTTCTATGAAGACCTGATTTCTGGAGCACATAAACATAAAATAACATAAAAAATAAAACTGTGTTTTCTTTCTTTCTGACATCATAGTTATAAGGTACATTGTTTTAGTCTAACCTTCAGGTTTGGGCTTGTAGTAAAATGTCAAAATGTTAAAGCACTATGGACACTAATCCAAGGCTCGGTTGTCCATTTAGCAACTGAAACAAATTTAATTCAAAATAACTCGAGCCATATTAAAAAGCCAGAGAAAATTTATACTACTTTATAAACATGGTTAAAAGTACTTTTAAAAAGTTTGCACAATAAGTTACACAATTGTTTTGATACTAGTTTTTCCACGTAGACTTAAATGCAACAATATTTCACAATCCGCTTGCAATGGCTTCTATTCCGAGGTGTTCCTGAACGCCTCAGTGACCGTCCTGTACTTTAGTAGATCTCAATGTGTGTGGATGGTATGAACTACATAGACACTGGCGGAACCTCCATGTTGCTGTGTCCCATTCACATGGTTTAAACTGTTCCAGTTAACTGTCGTTCCTGTAGGGGAGGCTAGTTGTTTAGCTGTATGTAACCTAGTTATAACAGCAGGCGTTACATCACTTTAGGTCGTGTCCCACCTGGGAAATAACGACCTGAAGGAAGCTAACTCTTCATAATTCATAAAACAGCGTGCTAATATGACACAGTGACCAAATAAAAAAAGAGAGCGACAGCCCTAGTGACTTCGCAAATTTGTTGTTTTTTAGAGGAGGCTGTCAAAACGCGACTAGTTTCAACGGGCACTGTAAGTAAAACCTGCACGCTTTTTAGTTGTCCACTTTGTAATATGATATAATTATGTTACAATAGTTGTTTAGCGTAGTGAAAAAGCTTTGCTTCTCCGTTTATTCATCGGTGGCTGTTTGTCATTTCTCCTGGCCGTGTCAGGCTGGGGCCTAGTTAAAGCTAACAGTGACCCATCACTGTTTATTTGACATGTACTACTGGTTTGAACTGGAGTTTAGATAGTACAGTAGTTTTTGGACCCCGTTACGTTTATAAAAGACTCGTTTTTAATTTAATGAGCATTAGTTAACTTCTTTATTTAGCTGTCAAACGAGCTGCTTCGCTAATGCTAATAGTTAACGTTAGGAATAAATGTTTCAGATCTTGGGTGTTATGTCAAATTTTGTGGCCTGACCTAGTTTTATCGCTCTACAGGTGTTTATATAGCTGTCTTTAGACAAACCGGTTCAATTTTGTTTACTTTGGATATTGGTCATGCGGCATTATTTTTTAATGGTAACCCCCCGAAAAGACACTAAAATACGAAGGAGAAGCTGTTAATTGAAAATAACGTTATCATTAAACTGAAGTAGATACAATTTGTACAGTTGACTATTTTAGTGCAATGCATTTTAATAGCTTTTATTATTATTTTTAAATTGAAGTGCATATTAATTCATATTAAATTATACAGTGAAATATACTATGATTCAGAGTTATAACGTTTTAGTTTTGATCTTCATTAGTTAAAAATGTGAAATATTTAGAATGGTCAAATTTGAACTGCATTATTCTGAATACCTTTCACATTGTGTCAAAAATGATTTTGAACTCATTAAGTATTTATTTATAATATTAAATGTCAAAAAAATTACATTTTGATGCTTTTCCCCCAACTTCCTCACATTAGATGAGGTAGATTAGATGAAGTACAACACCTAGTTTGGGGAAACTGGAATAGAATTATTTTACATTCATGCAAGATCTTAAAAATAATTTTGTGACTTGTAAAACCTTCATCGTATCTATTTAAATCTAAATATTCAAATTTTAACAGTCTTTTAGGTTCTTCATTACATTAGATGAGCTAGGCCTCAGTTTAAACCCTACAAAACTTAGGCAGAATTATGGATGCTGTAAAATACAGTTTGTGATTTGTGAAGATTTTATTTACGCTGAGCCATGTTGTAGGTCTTAAGTTGAATTTTTCATGACTCACAAACTTTGTTTACGTGTAATTTTTAAAATGGTCTCTTTTTAAGGTGGTTTCTAGCTAAAATTATGCCTTCAAATCCATCTTATTTTTTCACAAACTCTCTTTTATATAATCTGTTGTTAGTGTAGATTATTTGTATCTGACTTAGAACTTTGTTGGCAATAATTTTTGAACTAGTTCCCATGTTAAGGCCTCCAGCAAAAAAGCCCCCAAATTTCTTATTTTCTGTTTGTGTTAATTTACATAAATGTTTCACAAATGTTTTGTGTAAAATATGCAATGTCTATTGAGTAAATACTCAAACTAGAGTTGATCTATGCCTCAAGTCAGATGCTAATGTCTGCAACGTTTTTCATGTTTTTATTATAAAATGTTACATTTTCAAAGGTTTTCCTAACAGTGCATGATTGTTCATAGGTAGTGAAATTCTGGTGCTGGGATGTGGTCATTTCCAGTCTGGTTTACAAAATCAGACAGAACATGGATGATTCAGCCTTTGTTGCTGTTGGTACATGCTAACCTGTGGCTAAGTAGCTTTGTGTTTCTCTGCTCTGTGTAAATTAAATCTTCATTTTCAGGGTTTCAGACAGAAGAAAACATGTCCTGCCCATGCACCTCGGCTGCCAGGTTGCTCCTAAACTCTGCCCACAGAGGTAAGCAAGGGAAAGTCCACATACTGCCAACCAAAGGTTCTTGACACTTTGCTATTTGCTTTAGCTAACCTAGATTACTATTTGTTATGATAGTCGTGTTGCTAATGTCAACAGCAGCTGTAACAGTCTCTGGAATAGTTGGGACGCTAAAGATAGGCCAAGGATGGTGCAGCACACGGCCTTTTTGTGCAACTGTGGGACTTGCGGAAAAAAAATCTGAGCATTTATTTATGAACATTTGTGCTAGTTTAGCTAACATGTTCCCCACTCAAATTATATCATAATAAGTTGCAGCTTTTTAAGATTTATGTGAAAATCTGAGCTTATTTTGATACTAATTTTTCTAGGTTTTCTTTATGGTCACATGTGAAAAATTGTAAATAAGTCACTACAACTGATCGACAGAATATAATTATCAACATATACCTGCTGTTATTTGATTTCCATAAATTGTATGGACCTTATAACTCTTATGAAGTATGAGACATTATTACCTCTGATTAAACCAAAATAAGATCTGAGGAATTGCTGAATTCAGTGTAACACAACCACAGTACACTAAAGGTGTCAAAGCTGGCAACAAAAGTCTCCAAGGGAGTTAGAACGTAGAAAATGTTCTGTGGCAGATGGCTTGTTTTTGTACTAGACACAAGAAAATTTATGCAAAAATGAACAAAACTGTAAATGTTCAAAATGGCAAAGGGATAAAGTGACCAAAGTCTGTGTTTAGGAGGGTTTTTATTGTGTGTGGTCTCTGTTTTCTAATTTTTTAAATATTTAAAATGTACGTTTTTTAGTAATCTGAACTATTTAGTGGACAGACAGTTTTCCCTGATCGAGTGTTTCTTGTCTTTCAGGGTTGTCATGTTCCCGATTCCAGCTGTTCTCCCTGAGTCGTCGGGGGTCTCGGGAAGCTCATTTTCGTCCACGTGTGTGTGTGAGGTCGTTTTCAGAAACGGCCGTCTGTTACGCTGCTAAAGATGGGACAACAAAAGACAGTGGGAGTGACAGTGGAAAAGTAAACCCCCTTCCATTTCTATCTGTTATTCCCTCTAAAAATTAATACCATCAACATAATGGACCCAATTTAAGTTCTTTAATTTTGTGTGTCTTAATTTTACAGAAAAGTGTTGGTGATGGGAAGAGGATGTCTGGCTCTGGAGGGTCAGGAAAAGGTGGAAGCCAGCTGCGCTGCCCCAAATGTGGAGACCCCTGCACACATGTAGAGACCTTTGTATGTAAGTCGACCCGGTCAAACGTGATCTAGGACAAACAGAGGGTGTACACAAAATGTTTAAAACTACGTGAAAGTCACATTATTATTTGTTCAATACATTTCTGGAGCCAGTACAAGCAATAACATGACTGAGCATTGATTTATGTTTTCAGAACATAAATTGCTCATTTTCAGCAATGTTTTGATAAAAACAAGACTACAGAGACAAAATGAAAAGATTCTAAAATATGACCCAAAATATGTTGAAATATTGTTGTTAGTTTTTCATGGTGTCAACATACATAAATGTGTGAGAAAATAAATATTTTGGGTTTTAATTTGCCCAAACTCTCTCTGTATTACGTAACTCTGTGCTTTTGTTTTTGAAGCGTTCACACCAGCTGTCACTCTTTCCTGTAGTCTAAACCGTGGGCTGGATTAAATAAACAGAAGTGCAAACACAGCGTTTAAACGAGCGCCACAAACAACCAGGAACTGCGTGGATTTTATTGTTGTCTCTTGGTTTTCTGCTTTTTTTCTAAATGAGCTGATTATCTCCTGCCCGTTAAAACCTCTGAGATGTCCTGACTTTTTTTTTTTTTTTTGAGATTCTGCATGTTGCAACATTTATTAAAACTTTTTTTAAAGTTTTAATTTATTAAAACTTTTTAGTTTTAATAAATGACTGGGTAAACTCTGAGGCTGCACATCCATATTTCACTCAACTCTTTCTGTTTTGATTAACACCACTTTCCTTTGAGTCAAA